GCAAGGAGAGCTAACTTGCTGGCCGATTGCGGGCAAGACTCTGGCTGCGCGGCAGAGCGACGACAGGCGATCGAGGCGCTGGGCAGAGTGCGTCGTGGAGTTCCACGACGCGCGCTGGTCGCTCCGAGAGGGTCTCAGCGACGCGCGCTGGTCGTCCGCGGCGCGGGGCCGAACGGTCGGACCGTCGAGAGGGGGCGAGGCTCGGACGGGCCGCTCCCCTGGTCAGGCCTCGCAGATGAACTCCCTGAAGCCCAGCTCCCTGGCGAGGGCCGTCGCCTCCCGCGTCTCTTCGTGCGCGCCGCAAGCTGCTCCGGCTGCTTCCGCGAGCCCGCCGGCGGCCCTGCCGGGGAAAACGCGATCCGCAGCGCCCGCGTGAGCAAGTGGTCCTCGTGGCGTGTGGCGCGCGAGAGCAGCGCGTGGAGCTCCGGCCGCCAATCGTCGTCCTCCTTCTTGCTGTTCCTGACCTCGTGGCGGCTGCAATCCAGGATCACGTCTTGGCGACGTCGGCCGTGGGGGCGGCGCGCAGGACAGCCGTCGGCCCGGGGCGAGAGTCTACGGGGCCCAGGGAAGGTCTGGCTTCGAGCCGCTCGCGCCATGGCCATGGGGCCACGAAACGCGTGGACGGCGTGCTCCATTTAAGACCACGAAACACCGCGCTGGGCGCAGGAACCGCATGCGAGTTCCACCGCTGGGACCTTCGGTGGGGCTCCCCGCGGGGCCGCGACGCGCTGTGCTGGGCGCGGGGGCCGCATGCGAGTTCCGCCGCTGGGGCCGCGTGCGAATTCCGCCGCTGGGACCTTCGGTGGAGCTCCCTACGGGGTCACAAAACACTGCGCTGGGCGCAGGAACCGCATGCGAGTTCCGCCACTGGTGGAGCTCCCTATGGTGCCACGAAGCGCTGCGCTGGGCGCAGGAACCGCATGCGAGTTCCGCCGCTGGGACCTTCGGTGGAGCTCCCTATGGAGCTACGAAACGCCGCGCTGGGCGCAGAAACCGCATGCGAGTTCCGCCGCAGGGGCCGTTCCGTGGAGCTCCCTACCCTATGGGGCCACGAAGCGCTGCACTGGGCGCACAAGAACCGCATGCGATTTCCGCCACTGGGACCATCGGTGGAGCTGCCTATATGGGGCCACGAAGCACCGCGCTGGGCGCAGGAACCGCATGCGAGTTCTGCCACTGGGACCTTCGGTGGAGCTCGCTATGGGGCCACGAAACGCTGTGCTGGGCGCAACATCCGCTTGCGAGTTCCGCCGCTGGGACCTTCGGTGGGGCTCCCTATGGGGCCACGAAGCACCGCGCTGGGCGCAGGAACCGCATGCGAGTTCTGCCACGGGGGCCTTCGGTGGAGCTCCCTATGGGGCCATGAAGCGCTGTGCTGCGTGGGGGCAAGGAGGGGGGGGGGGGGGGGGCGTCACGGGGGAGCCCTCGAGCGCCCGTCGCGCGGCCAGCGGGGCCACTCAGCGCGGGGTCGGCGGAGTCCGAGAAGTTGTCGATGCCGTTGCTCGTCTGCGCGTGCGCCGTGCCATTATGGGCCAGGTGGTCTGCAGGAATGTGGCCATAGTCGAAGCAGATGCGGTCAAAAATGTCGAAATTGAAGAAAGTTAAAGAATTGGGCGCGGACGGCGGCCGCGCCGAGAGCGATGAATCATCGCGCCCAGCAGGAACATGCTCACGAGGCCCCCTTTTCGGTGGTGCAATATGAAACCATATGGGGCCATCCAAATGGTGCAAGAGATATGACACGCATGGCTAATGAGACATCGGGATAGAAGCACAGGCGAGAGACGTGCACAATGTAAGGACAGGTCCAGGGTGGCTGTGAGAGGGCAGCTTGAGCCCAGGCAGCCGCGGGGAAGGCTGCTAAGGGCGGCACCAAATCAAACGGTCTCTCAAGGCTACCGCGTGCACATCGCACTACTGTGCTCATGGAACACTTTTTCCGGTGGTGCAATCTGATGCCATTTGGGGCCATCCAGATGGTGCAAGAGATACGACATGCATGGCTAAGTAGACATCCGAAGTATTCGCATAGTCGAAGTTCTCAGCGAAGCGGTACCACAGGGAGCGGACACGGCGGCAACCCTGGGATCGGCGGCGGCAGCAGGGACGTGTCTGAATCACGCATTGATTAACATACGCCATAGCAGTGCAGCAAGGCGGTGCGGATATTCAGCGGCCTTGCTCGTCATTGCCTTTCCCTCGAAAACAACGTGCTTATTTCCTGGCCTGAAGGGGCGCTGGCCATGCTTCCCATGGTAACGCAGCCTCCCAAAATTCGCCTGACAAGCGTCGCCGGAGGCCATCGTGAAGCCAAACATGATCCTTGTGGCCTTTCTTCACCTGGACCCACATGCACATCGATGGAGATCCAACGCTCTGGAAAACGTCAATACATTATCTTGCATCTTTCGAACACGCCACATAAACGGAGTCGAAGGGTTCTCTGGAGCATAAGGTACACCGTTTCTCAAACAGAGACTGATGATATACATTGCAACATCGAGAGACAAGTTACCGATCTTCACAGCTTCTTTGTTCGATCCAGTCAAACCTGGTAGACCTCCGGGATGTTCAAAGCTTCTGACGGGGTAACGAGGGCGATGGTGAAGGCATCACTGCCTTCACCAGACCAAATCGGAAGTGCCGCTCAAGCATTTTTCAGGTTGCGAGAGCTACACGCGTCTTGGTCTGGTCCATGCCGCAGGTCCAAGCTCGCGGCCTGATAACCAGACAGTCGCGCTTGCTTGGCCGCGCCACCGCTTCCAGAAAACAACAAACATTTAGCAAATGCGGCGCAGCCTGCATGCGGAGCTGCTGGCTTAGAGGCCCTTCCGAAGGGCCTGGCGGTCGGCGTGCGGCGGCGCCGCAGCGGCTCGGCCCAGTAGCAGTGCGTCCTCCAGCTGCCTGGGCGCCGTCACGCAGCGCGCCTTGGCCAGATCCGACAGGCGCTCCCAGCGTTCGTTCAGCCGACCCGACTTTTCGTATTTCTTCGCCGACGTCAGCGCAGCCCATCTTCCTCGCTTCTGGACCTCCTCTTGTGAGCGCGTTCCCGTGCCCCGATCCAGCGATGCCCCGCTGTGCTGGCCTGGGCGCGGCGCGGCATCCACCCCGATATTCAGAGCGGCTCGTCTGAAAGGGGTTCAGGGGCTGAGGGCGGCTCAAGCCCAAGAGGGGCTGGGATGACTTGCGATCATTGTTCTTGATTTCGCAGGCGTGAAAGGGTCCGCTGGGCCCCGCCTGGGCCAAGAAGCTGGCAGCTGTCTCTACGAGGCCTTCTAGAGCAGAGAGCTCAGCGCCAGTGACTGTGGGGCCGCGGGGGAGCCGGCGCGCTACCTGCACGACGCCCCTCCAAATGAGGGGATCACGCGGGCGAGAGGGAGGGGCAGAGGGATCGCGCGATCTTTGAGCGCCTTGAACACGTAGCTCATCAAAGGGCAACGGCCCGAGTCGCAAGGTATCGTGTCGTCCGCCGATCCTACCTTGCTCCGAGCAGCCCCTGTCTCTGGAAACAGCCGCACAACCCAACTTTGAACTGCGTGTTCGCTCGGAGCCAGGAAAGAGTTGCTCGTCAGTCCCAGCATCTCCCCTAGCCGCAGATAGCACTCCACCATGATGAGCACCATGGCGGGTGCCAGCGGGGCTCCTAGGCGACGCAGCTCTACCGCCAGGGCCGACCAGATCGCGAACGCCAAAGGCTTCCGCGAGCGAGATGGTGACAGCTTCTTCCAGCCCTTCAAGCAACGGAGAGAGCGCGGCAGGCGCAGGCCCCTCAAGCGACCATAGTCCTGGTGGAAGAACACGATGCCCGCTGGCAGCTTTTCCCCCCGCCAGGACTTCACCCCCTTCAGCAACTCGAGGTTCATGTGCTCGACGAGTAGCGCACGCAACTCGGGCGGCTCGGGAAGGGCCTCGATCGAAAACTGGGCCCAGACGCAGAACGCGAGGACGCACTGGAGGTAGGTTTCCAGCGTCGCAGCCCTCACCGACCTTCGCTCGATGTAGCTGATGCCCAGCTCCTGGTTGGCAGCGGCTGCCTGCTCGCCCTCCAGCTCGGCGATCGCCCGGCGTGCCCTCGCCTTGCCCCGGGTCTCGAGGCGCCGAAAACAGCGGGCGTTCACCCTGGGATCCTCGGCGTCGCTGCTCTCTCCGCTCGCGCTCTCGCCCGCGCCCTCGGCGGCCCCGTGGGCCGTGGGCCCGGGCGCCAGCGTCGACCCCTCGCGCTGCTCCGCCTCCAGGAAGCCCTCGACGGACTTCACGCGCGCTGGGGGCGCCGAGGCCTGATCGCGTCGAGCCCGTGCCTCGGATCCGGCGTCCCCGCCCTCCGCGGCGCCGGAGTGCCCAGTGGCGGCCGCCCTCCTGGCCCCGCGCATAGCGTGCGCGCTCGGCTCCTGGCAGAGGGGCTCGGCGCCGGCGCCGCTGCGGGCTCCAGGCTCAGCGTCCTCCGCCGCGCGCTCTCGCGCGCCGCAGGGGCCCCCGGCGGGGGTGTCGCCGGGAATGGGACAAACCTAAGCTGAATGCGAGTTTGAGCCCAGATGGGAGACAAGAGTTTTGGCATGATCGTAGTGGGGATCAAACTTTCGACTTCCTTCGTCGCCAGAATTCAATTCGCTTGGGATCCACCTCGCGACGAACATTATGTCCCGGGCAAGACAGAGAGCGGCGAAGCGACGGACCTGAATTAGAAGCCGAAGTTCCCTGGACCCGAGGCGGTAAAAATGCAGCGCCACTGCGAGATTGTCTCCTACCAGAAAACACGGCTTTGTTTTACTGGCTGGCAGTGCGCAGCCCGAGACGCGGCGGCCTTCGCAAGCGCCCGAGCCTCGAGGCCAAGGATATCATCTCCGAACACCCACCTGTCGGCCATGACTGCGATCCAGTGGGAGTCGTGGACCAACGAACTGGGCGCCTCAGGAAAGCTGGGATCGGCCTCCCAACGCTCGCTGTCCAGCGCGCGCCTGAGGTCGGCGTTGCTGCGGCGAGCCGCCAGCGTCCCGGATGACCTCGCCGGTGGAGCTGTCCGGCAGGAAACCAGCGCGCTCAAAAGCGTGCTGCCGCGCCAGCCCAGCGCCAAGCCGCCGCCGCGACAGCTCGGATGCCCGCCCGATTTCGGCCACGGTCGCGGGCTCGAAGCAGGCCGCCGCCACGCCGTAGCCGTACAGGCTCGCGTCCGAAGAGTAGACGATGGGGGCCCACCCTCTGGTCCAGCGCGACTCCAGCAGCGCCGTGATGCTGAGGTAACTCTCGAGCTCCTCTCGCACCGTAGGCCACAGCATGGAGAAAGCGTGGTCGCTCTGCGCCGCGAACGCATGCGCCGAATTGAATATGGACAGAACCTCGCGACGAACCAAGGCTATGAACGCCGCGTGGACCAGCGCCGTCGCCAGTTACCAACCTGCGACCTTGCGACGCCTGAGCAAGCATCGGAAGCCCTTGCGCACAATGGCGAACCGCTCGTCCGTCGGACGTGTTGCTTGGTTGCCGTCGACGTAACAGCCGAGGGTCCGCCCGCCACTGGGCTGCACCTCCACCCAATGGAACTTCAGCTGGTCGCTCTCGAAGTCCCGCTGCGCCTTGGTCAACGCGGCCTGTGCGAGGCGCTCCTCCAGCCCGATGGCCTCCGCGTTGTCAACGTGCATGAAATGACCAAGGCAGCTGTCCGACGTTTCGGCCCTGAGCACCAGAGGCGGGCCCCGATCGCTCAAGCGCGCTGCCGCTGAGCGAAGGTTGCCGATCCAAACGAGCCTGGTTCGCGGCCTGTTCGAAATACAAGGACAGCGAAAAACCCATAGGAATACTCTGACTCATGGGCCACACCTGTTCGCCCATGGCCACAGGCGATCCCTGGACCAACGCCGCTCCAGTCACAAAGGCATCCAGTGGCGGCCAGCAGAAGTAACGCCTGATACCGCCCTCCAGCTTCATCCCGTGGAGACATTCGGCGACGTCGCCAACTCCCAGCACCGCGCGTAGCTCCGCCAAGTCACGCCCCTCCAGCGATGGCATCTCGGTGCGACCGAGCCCCTCGCCCGACAGTAGATCCATGCCCGGTGGAGGACGAAATAATGCGTTGCCGCGCCTGCAGTCGACGATGAGCCGAGGGCGCGCTCCATCATTCTTCTTCACGAAAAAAAAAAACAAGCCCAACACGCTCAAAAGCCGTCGCGTCAACGTGGCGAGGCCGACCGACAAGGTGCGCCTGACGAACTTCCCATGGCTCCGAGGTCGCTGGAGCAGAAGGAGGTCGGTGAGACGCCCAGGGAGTCCGTGAATCTCCTGCATTAAAGCGGCCTCCTTTGGCGGAACCAGCATCCTGGTGGCGAGCTCCTTGAGATAGAGCCTCGCCTGCGCGGGCAGCGTGGTCGCCAGACTGGGAGCGTCGACGACGCTCTCGGGCAAACTGGCCCGCGAGTACTCGTGGGAGCTCATGCTGGTGGAGCCAAGCGGGGCGTATCCCGCTTTGCCCTTGACAGGCCGGGCGAGAGCTTCCTCCTCCGTGATGGCGCTGTCAACGCCGACCCAACGGCGGGCCGCCGCAAAGACGCGCTGCTGCACATCCACCCGTATGGCTTTCATCTTGAGGCGGCTCACCTCCCCCCTGTGGAGATCTGCCGGCTCTGCGGACACCCCCATGTAAATAATTCAAACTGCTGCCGGCTGCGTTGCCGTCCCGTAGCCAGCGGCGCCGTTGGGGCCTGCTGAGGCCCTCGCGCCACTCCTCCGGCAAGGCCGTGAGTGGGGCCAGCGGCAAGAACGGCGATCCCTGCAGCCCCTGATTGCCCTCGCGTCTGGGGGGCGCGGTCGGGCTCCCGTGCCCCTCCGCCTGGCGCGTCATGTGGCCGGCGGGCGGGGCCCGCGACCCCGCCCGCCTCGCCTGCCTCTGCCGCGCCCGTCGTCGCCGCCTGCCTCGGCCCTCGGGGGGCCCCCGGCAGCTGCCAGCCAGCGAGCGCCCAGGGCCGCCGCCTCAGCCCGCGAGGCCTCCGCGGGCGTGACTCCCGGGGCCTTCGCGCGGGCCCGCGCCGCCTCCAACTCATGCTCTTTCCTCGAGAGGCGGCTGGCATAGCTCCTGAGCGCGTCGGGCGCGAGGTCTAGCGGGTTAGACGTCCCCGCCAGGTGCTTCGCCGCCCCCCAATTGGCCTGGTCCGCTCCATGCGCGTAGGCCTCCGTGTACCGGAGCAGCCTCCTAGCGACCACCTCTAGCGACGCGAGGGCCCCCATGTTGACCTGGTCGTCAGTCCCAGCCAGGTGCACGCACTCTATCAAAGACTGCACCTCGTGGTATGTTCTGTCCCGACGGGACAGCCCAGTCTCCTTGCACCACCAGATCTTCGGCCCCCCAAGTGGCGATACTTCTTTCGGCGCACCTCCAGACAAGCGGGGGGGGGCCGCAGACTTGAATATGTGAAGACCTCTTGGGTGCCCTCCTGCACCACTTTGCGCAATTCCTCGAAGCGCGCTCCTGTCTCGCCCACGTCGATCCAGCACGTGCGAAGGCCCCACTGGGCCTCAGCGCCTGCAGAGGCCGCGGCGGCGGGCGTGCCGCCAAGCACCTCTCCGGGCGGCGTAGGCGCGCCCTCGGCAGTGGAGCGCAGCGTGTCGTCCGACCTCGACCTCGGGGGCCGTGCAGTCGGCGGCGACCAGCTTCCCGTCCGTCCAAGAGCCAGCGTCCTCGTCCTTTCCGTACTCGATAGGGTGCCAGTCGCCGTGCTCGTTGCGATCCAGGCCGAACCGCCCTCGCAGCACCGCCGACGCGGTCAGCTCCACCTGCTGGCAGTAGCTGCCGGCGTCCTCCAGCGCAGCGGCGACCCAGGCGCCGGGCGGATTCTCCTCGGGCGGCGGGAGCGGCGGCGGCGCCGCGTCGGCGAGCGGGGCCAGGTCGGGGCCGCCGTCAGCACCCGCGGCGGTGGTCTTGTGGCGCAGCCGTCGGCGCCGCACGCGGGGCACCTCCGCCGTGGCCAACGGCGGGATCGGCAGCCGGCGCCCTGGCCAATCTTGGCCATCACTTGATCACCAGTCAGCGCCGTGCTCGAGCGCGGCCTCGCCCCGCCGGCGGCGCGCGAGCGTCGGCGCCTCGTCTCGCTGCAGCTCGCGGCTGAACGCCGCCGCTTTCCTCGCCCCCGCCGGGTGCCGGCGACGGCCTGTCATGGCCACGAGGCTGGAATAGTCACTCAGCTCATCAGCATGCGAATCGTTTTCCGCCGTGTGCACTATCCAGGGCGCGCAATCCTCCGCGGCTGGCCAGCGCAGAACGCGCCGGCGCCCGTCCTCCTCGAACTGCACCAGCACCCACGGGCCTGGAGAGGCGCCGCCCAGCGCCATCACGCCACGTGGATGCGCGCAGGGCGCAGCGGCTCCTTCGCGCGCTGCGCCGATGTCCTGCTGGCCAGGTCGTCGCCGAGCTGTCCTCCAGCTCGTGGCCAGGGCCGTCTCGCGGCCACTCCAGTGCAGGCTCAGGGGCCAGCGCAGGCCCCAGCACCAGCTGCGTGGAGAAACCCGAAGGTGATCAGGGCAGCCACCGCGCTTGCCGGGCCATGCGGCTGCATGCCCGCTTGCAGCTTGAGCCCAGGCAGCCGCGGGGAAGGCTGCTAAGGGCGGCAACGAGTCAAGCGGTCTCTCCAAGCAAACAAATGCACGTCGCACTGCCATGGCCGGGCCAGGCTCTGCGAATCTCCTAGAGCGCCGACGCGAGGCGGCGCGGGTCGCCCTCCCGGTCGAGCCCGCCCACGAAACGCGCGGGGGCGCCATGACCGGCTGCGCCGCCGCGAAGGAAAAAGGTCGGCAAGACTCGCGCGGGGCGCGCTGCAACGGCGGATGAGACGAAGATCGCGAAGACGAAGAAAAGATGCCTGACCACCGAGACGTGCAGCTCCAATCGCAGCATCGCCAGCGCGACGCCGAGCTCGGTGGCTGCCGGCGGGGTGCAAGCCTTCGCGGGCATCGCATGCGGGTGCAGCACCATGGTCGGCCGCATCGTCCTCGCAAGCCAGCCGTCGTTGGCCGCCGCCGGGCTGAGGGCCGCAGCAATCGCGGAGGCGGCGCCGCCGTCGGCAGCGTCGAGACCGAGCCTCTGGTTGGAAACTGCGGCGTCGGCGTCGTCGTCATCCAGTTCTCCAAGGATATCCCGCTGACCAGCAGGAGACTCGCGCGCAGAAGGTGCGCGGTGTCCACGAGGGCCCCGAAGTCCAGTGGGGGGCGTTTGCGCTGCGGGGCCTCGCAGCCCAGCAGGGTCCAAAAGGCAAGCTTCGCAGGCGGGGGCGGCTCCATCGCCGACGGCATCGGGGTCGAAAGTGGGCCTTTGACGAGCGCCATCATCGGCGGCGCCGTGGCCGGGGCCGCCAGGGGGGCCCAGCTGTCCCGCGGGGGGCTTGCGCGCAGAAGGTGCCCGAAGCCCATGATGGTCCCGAAGTCCCGCGCGAGTGTCGAGCGAAGGTGCTGAATCGGCAGCCAGCCCGACGAGCGCATGCAAGTCTGGCGCAGCGTGACCGGCCGCCCGAGCGTCGCCGTCAAAGGCTGACCGTCGGCGTGCGCGGGGAAGGTGGCGAAGGCGATCGTGTTCAGCAGCAGTGACATCCTCTGTCATTTCTGTCAGGCAAGCCGAGCGAGTGGAGATTCTCGGGCCCACCTGGGGAAGCAGCAGGCAGTGGAGATCGCGCGCGGCGTCAGCGCGGAGCCTGTGCCCATCGGCGTCGCGATCGGCAGCGCGGCGCCGATCCGCGGCAAAGGCGCGATGCGGACCGCCGTCTGCAGCAGGTAGGTCGACGCGTTGAGCTGTAAAATCGTCGCGCAGAGGGCCGCCGCCGCCGCTCGCGGCGCGAGGGGGCCCGCCAGCAGCGCGAGGAGCAAGGGGGCGTCATCGCGCCCCAGGGGGGGGGGGTCTGCGCGAGAACCGCGCGGACTGGCCCTCGGACCGAGGATGGGTCCCGCCCGAACCTAGAAGAGCACGCAGGGCGCCGCCAGGAGGGGCGCCAGGATGCGCCAGGTTCGTCATCGGGTTCTCGGGCAGAGTCGCGTCGACTACGTCCAGCGGCGAGGCCCGACACAATGAGAGGAGCTGCAAGCTCGGTGCTGGAAGCTTGGCCCTGACCGCGCAAAGGAGAAGTGTCGCCACCTGGGGAAGCGGTCGCAACGGGGTGGGCTTGCACGCGTTGTGGAACACCGCGGGCAACGCGCTCTTCGAACAATGAGAACTCGACCTCGAAGTCAGCATCCTGCACGATTGTGTCGCTCAGCGCGAAGGCGGTCTGGGTGTGCTCGTCGTCGCTCCAAACACGTTCGGTCACGCTGGGCGGTCACGTCGCATCAGAGGATCAACCGCGCGGAGGCGAAGGGGAAAAAGACGAGGCAACCGAAAGACGTTGCCGTTGCAGTTCGGAAAGGAAAATCACCACTTGCGGGATGTCAGGGCCATCGCATGCCGCGATCGGGTAGAGCGCGGGCTGGTTGTAGGCAGCGCGCAACTGGTTGAACGAGGCGAACAGTGACGGAATGTTGTACGAAAAGACACTGAGCATGCACGACACGGTATTGATATTGCTATCCAGCGGAGGCGGCGCCAGCGAAGCAAGGCGCAGCGGTGCCTTGGCGCCAGCCCGCGCGCCCTTCGCAGTGGGCGAGACAACGGGAAGACAACGAACGCGGTGTTTAGCGCGGCCTGCTTGCGAGCTGATGGTGCGCGGCTGCTTGATGGAGTCGCCGTCGAAAAACCCACTAACATGGGCAATCGGCCGCCGAAGACTCTGAGCATGAGTCCCTGTGACCGACTGCAGCTGCGCATGCGCCATGAGGCGGTTCGCCGTGCGCCTAAGGTTCGGGTGTAAGCAGGACGGGACGAGCGGGTGGGACATCCCCGAGGGTCGATTCCTCACATAGCCGCGGGCACGGGCGCGAACGCGACCCAGACGAAGTTTGCCTGGAGAACAGCAGTGCACCATGCAGAAGGTACTAGCGCAGCTTACGAATACCAGAACATGTTACCCAAGTCGGCCACGGCGCGCGCCATTGCATGCTGAAGCGGATGGGGCGCGTGCGGGGCCACGGCCTCACAACATGTGACTTGAGCCAAAGTGGCTACGGAAGTATATGGGAGGAAGGAGGAGGGGGAGGAGGAAGGAAATCCGCCGATCCGGCGTGTGAGTTTCAAGGAGTCTCAGCTACAGCCTCGAGGCTGAGCTTCAGCCTCTGGGGGGGTCGCCGGGGTGGCTCTGCCGGGGAAGGGGGGGTGGGGGGGGGGGGGGGGGGTGCGAGTTTCCGGCGAACCCCGGGGCCGCTCCGGGGGAGTGGAAGATAGGGGGGGGGGGGGCGCCATGCTCCGCTTTTTCCGGCGCTTTGGAGGAGGGGGGGGGCCCAAGAGACCCCCAAGGGGTTCCAAGAGGGCCCCGAGTCGCCGAAAAATCGCTCCAAGACGCCCGAGATGGCCTCCAGACGGCCCAAGGTGTCTCCAAGACGCCCCAAGAAGCTTCCAAGAGGCCTCCCAAGAGGGCCCCAAGAGGCCAGAATCGTTGATTTTCATTGGTTTTTTCAGGGTTTTTAGCGTTCTTGCCTTTTCGGGCGTCCGACGCTCGAAGACGGCCCAAGAGGCCCCCAAGTCCGTCCCAAGACGGCCCACGATGCTTCCAACACGGCCCAAGAGAGCCCCAAGACGGCCCAAGAGGGCCCCAAGACGGCCCAAGAGGGCCTCTGGACAGCCCAAGAAGGCCCCAAGAGAGCCCCAAGAGGGGCCCAAGAGGGGGACCACGAACCGAAAGAACCGAGCTTTCCGCCCCAAGAGGCCCCCAGGAGGCCCCAAGAGACCCCCAAGGGGCCCCAAGAAGCCCACAAGAGGCCCAAAAGAGGTTCCAAGAGGCCCCAAAACAGCTCCCCAGAGGCCTCCAGACTGCCTCCGGCAGGCCCCCGGTTTCTTCCGCGGCACCGCCCAGGGCGCCACCGGCAGGATGTCCTCCGTCTCATCGTTTTCCTTCAAGTTATCGCCTCTTCCTCATTCTCCTCCTCCTCCTCTGCGACCTCACTCCTATCCCTCAACGATCGCGTCACCGAGTGCCTCTTCTTTGAAACATCCTCGCTCTTCAAACGCACATCCATACACACATGCATACATACCTACATTTAAACACATTTGCATACATAGAAAAACAATCTTCCAGACATACATACTTACATTCACACACATACACACATATTATCATACACACATACAAACATACATACAAACTAAATACATACATACGCGCACAAGCATACATACATACATACGTACCTACACACAGGCACACATGATCAATGCATGCATACATGCATGCACGCGTACATACACACACATATATCGTGAAACTCACCGCGTGCTCGAAACTTGAGAGAGACCGCGGGAAGTCGAGAGAAGCCGCGGAACGAGGCCTCTACTACTACTACCACTACTACCACAACCACTACTACTACTACTACTACTACTACTACTACTACTACTACTACTACTACTACTGCTACTACTACTACTACTACTACTACTAATACTACTACTAGTACTACAGGAGCGTTTCCCAACTAGTATGTGTGTGTGGGTGATGCTGTGTGCGCATGTCTGCGGCGCAGGTTAAGTGGTGTGACTGTGTGTGTGCGTTTGAGTGTGCGCCCATAATTTCTGCGTCTGGAGAATAACCCCGAGCGACCCGGATCGGCGGCACTGGCCGAAGGCCACTACAATAAGAAAAGCGGGGCGCTGTCTCTTCAAAACGAGGACCCAACACCACAGGATGGCTGGGAACAAAATAAGCTGGCCTAGTCGTACATGTCGAACAAAAATCTCTCTCTGACCGCCCTGTCCCTTGGGGCGGTCGTCTGAAAAAACGCAGGCATCGGGGGCTCGATGCCCCAATGGAGCGACGAGGATGGGGGGGCAGGAGGGACAGGGGCGCCCTGTCCATAAGCTTAGGGGCGCGCAAACATGGATTAGCGATTCATCGATTTGGCGCGCGGTCGGCAAATCCAT